GAGCCAGCCATGGGCTGCAGCTGCCAAAAATGCAGTGTTGGGCTGCATTAACAAAGGGATAGAATCAAGATCACGTGAAGTGTTAATACCACTTTACAATGCCTTGGTAAGGCCACACTTGGAATACTGCATCCAGTTTTGGTCACCACGATGTAAAAAAGATGCTGAGACTCTAGAAAGAGTACAGAGAAGATCAACAAAGAGGATCAGGGGACTGGAGGCTAAAACATATAAGGAACAGTTGCTGGAATTGGGTATGTCTAGTTTAACGAAGAGAAGGACGAGGGGGGACATGATAGCAGTGTTCTGGTATTTCAGGGGCTGCCCCAAAGAAGAGGGAGTCAAGCTCTTCTCCAAAGCGCCTGAAGGCAGGACAAGAAGCAACAGATGGAAACTAATCAAGGAGAGAAGCAACGTAGAACTAAGGAGAAATTTCCTGACAGTTGGAACAATTAACCAGTGGAACAACCTGCCTCCAGAAGCGGTGAATGCTCCAACACTGGAAGTTTTTAAGAAGAAACTGGACAGCCATTTGTCCGAAATGATATAGAGTTTCCTGCCTGAGCAGGGGTGTGGTTGGACTAGAAGACCTCCAAGGTCCCTTCCAACTACTACTACTACTACTACTACTACTACTACTACTACTACTACTACTACCACTTCTTCTTCTTCTTCTTCTTCTTCTTCTTCTTCTTCTTCTTCTTCTTCTTCTTCTTCTTCTTCTTCTTCTTCTTCTTCTTCTTCTTCTTCTTCTTCTTCTTCTTCCTCCTCCTCCTCCTCCTCCTCCTCCTCCCTCTTATCATCATCATCATCACCACCACCACCACCATCACATATTCTCTTCCTGCACCCTGCCCTCTTTCTCACTAAGACGTTTGAGCAAGTTTTGGAAAAACTTCAAACTCATTCATCCTCCAGCGAATCCCCAATGGAACCCCGTTAAGCCAAACTGATTAATTTGTTATTTCTTTTCAGAGTGGGAGAATTGCCATCAAAGCATTTACAGTCCTTCCAACAGCTCTGGCTGCAGTCTGAAAAAAAAGACGTCCCTCCTAAGTGGTTACCGCTTAACCAAGAGGAAAAGACAACGGTCAAGAGGCAGAAAAGAATCTATAAAGGGGGATGCTTCGGCATTAAGGAGAATCTATTGAAGAGGAAGAGCCCATCTGATTGTTGTTGAGCAGGGGTCTTCAAACTTGGCTACTTTAAGACTTGTGGACTCCAACTCCCAGAATTCCTCAGCCAGCCCTCAGGGCTGGCTGAGGAATTCTGGGAGTTGGAGTCCACAAGTCTTAAAGTGGCCAAGTTTGAAGACCCCTGTTGTTGAGGCTATTTAGGAGCAGGAACCGGGTTGGGTGATTCCAGATTGCAAGTTATGATCTTGTTCCTCAAGGTAATAAATAGGAAAGACTTGGGGTCTCCAGCCAGTACTGGAGAATTTGGAAGCTGCTTAACCTTAAACACACCCTCCCTCTCATTGCTGGAAGAAGCTATTTGTAGGAAGCCACTTCTAAAAATGTTGCCAAGGAAACCACATGGACCTTAACTCCACATGGAGTTAAGAAGGACTTGAAGGACCACAAAACAATCACCAAGAACAAAACAATCACAACCATTGCTAGGCTGCATTAACAGAGGGATAGAATCAAGATCACATGAAGTATTAATACCACTTTACAAGGCCTTGGTAAGGCCACACTTGGAATCCTGCATCCAGGTTTGGTCACCACGATGTAAAAAAGATGTTGAGACTCTAGAAAGAGTACAGAGAAGAGCAACAAAGATGATTGGGGGACTGGAGGCTAAAACATATAAGGAACGGTTGCTGGAATTGGGTAGGTCTAGTTTAACGAAGAGAAGGACGAGGGGGGACATGATAGCAGTCTTCCAGTATCTCAGGGGCTGCCCCAAAGAAGAGGGAGTCAAGCTATTCTCCAAGGCGCCTGCAGGCAGGACAAGAAGCAACAGATGGAAACTAATCAAGGAGAGAAGCAACCTAGAACTAAGGAGAAACTTCCTGACAGTGAGAACAATTAACCAGTGGAACAACCTGCCTCCAGAAGCGGTGAATGCGCCAACACTGGAAGTTTTTAAGAAGAAACTGGACAGCCATTTGTCCGAAATGGTATAGGGATTCCTGCCTGAGCAGGGGGTTGGACTAGATGA